AAGGAAAGACCAAAAGTCCACCTTCACCATCTGTGGTGAAATATCAGATCAGATTCAGGTCACCTTGGCAGGATCACCCTGGTTTTCTTGGGACAATTCATCAATTGGTGTAGATCAGCGCAACTCCATTGACCATCTTCCATCCTGGCCTGTCTCTACAGCATGTCTGTGTTTGTGTGCATGTGTTCTGATGCAGATGAAAAAGTTTGAAGGATTAAGTGGGGGAGCCAAAATGAATCCACAGGAGACCCAGGACATATATGAATTAGTGTTTCCTTCTTATTACCCCTAGCACTTCAGTTTTTCAGACACCTTGCCTCCTCTTCCACTGTTGTGTATGATACCAAAGAAAATAAGTCAAGATCAGTGATAGTCATGCTCATTGCTCTGGCCTGGCTCAGTAGACCATGGTATCATGATAAGCGGAGACCATTCAGAGAGTGAAAAATTCTTTTTTCTTTCATAAAAGATATTCTGTCACAAAGACAATTTCTTTATCTAAGCCTCGGTCAGCTTGAGCAGAATATCATGTTAAGGAAGCATGGAATTTCCTAGGTGGTCAAGAAAGTCCTTCCCTCCTCCATTAAGAAAAGAACCTTCATCACATACTACGAGGTATTGGTGGTCTTTACTGATTAGTGGATGGATAAAGGCATTTATGTGAAAGAATCATCAATCCATTCCATCCTTAACTTAGGAAGGTTTCAGTAAGAGCCATTCCCTTAACTGCTTGAGGGTCCAAGTGCCATTTTGGGGGAAATAATTTCTCATTTTCTTCAAGCATTCTCCTACCTGTGTCATTGCAGGTCCTCTCCCTTGGTGTCTCAGTCTAAAGGTTCTCTGTGGTCCCCTTTCTTTTGAACCTCTGCATTTCATTTCCCTTTACCTCTTTTTTTTTTAGAAGGCAGCTTTCTTAGTAACCATATGTAAGAATGGTGGGGTAAATGACCACTTTAATTTCTGTTTCTCCCTATAAACAAGGCGGTCCTCATTCTATGCTCCTGTTTATCTGCTTTCTACCTTAGTTTATCTTGCATCTGCCTCAATCCCAAAGCAGTAAAAGAGGCATGCTGGCACAATCTTGAGATTTCCAGGTCTATAACAAATTTTATTTGACCACAACCTCTGCATCAGTCATAATCCCTTTTTGTTCTCTTCAAAAAGAGTTGCTCAGTCTTGTGGTTTGAATTACTCAGTGTGTAGGTAATGCATGACAAATGTTTATAAAGTGCCTAGTTCTGTCATGTTTAAAGCTCACTCCACTTGTAGAGAGGGGCTTATCTATGCTGACTGAAGAGTGCAAAAAATGAGAACTACTTTTTGGTCATCTTTACTCCTGAATCCACATAAAAGTTCTGAGCCTGCACTAGTGCAGTCAGTAGGAGTTTTGTTACTGAGTTAAACGGGCACAGAGTCAGGCACAAAAGGAGGTGCTGCACTGTCCTCACTTGTAGAAAGCATAGCTCATAAATTAATTACCAGGAAAGGAGTTCTCATTATTTTTCAATCCATTGATGTGTTTGTTCAGAATGCTGTTTGTATTACAATTGTTTTTTTCTCTCTCTCTCTCTCTGCACCCCCACCCCAGCTTTGTGCCCTAGGTGGAATGCAACTTTTACTTTTAATGTTCAAGTTCCAGAACTGGCATTAGTACGCTTCGTTGTGGAAGATCAGATATCGCTAGCTGCAAATGAGTTCCTGGGCCAATACACTTTACCACTGCTGTGCATGAATAAAGGTAGTACTTCCTCCAAAAGCAAACTACATACCACCGAGTAAAAATCTACAAAAGCATAAGCTTTTACTATTAGCCTGTTGTTCTCTTTAGGTTTATTACACACCATAAACTTTGTAATAGGTGCAACAGATGCAGAGTGGCATTCATCACATTTTTGGGTCATTGTTAGCTATGATGATTAGATTCTATGTGACTGCCAACCTACAGTACTGAAGGAAATATTACTTATTGGTAGCTGTATTTATTGCAGTATTACTCCACTCACATTGTAAACAGAATCCATTCAGAGAGTATTATAGCTCCAGCTGTTAGGAAGCAAGAGGGTGAAAAAAACAGTCAGTCAAGACCAGTATAAAGGCACCAGATTGCCCATGTTTTATTCAGTCCAGAACCTGAAAAAACAAAAGAGAGGTAGGCAATAAAGATAAAGAATCAAGTGAGCTCTTTCTGCAATTTTTTGACAATGCACAAAGATGGAAATAAAATGGGGGAAATAAAAAAAGCGTAATAACTGATAATTTCCCCTTGTTTTACTAGTACCTCTCCTTGATTCCTATCCGATGAACAGAATTCAAATGAATAGCTGATGTAGACGCCACTATGCCAGGAGGAGGGTGGCTTACTCTAAACTGGCTGCTTACTGTATTTGATTTTCAAAATAACTTCTGACAAGCACACAGAACCAACTTGTACTGGTGAATAAAGGTGTATAGATTCACCTACTGCCCTTCGCTTCCCTACAGATGTCATCCTCCAGTGTCTCAATACTCTCTTGAAGATGCAGTAATCCCTCTTGTTAAATGATCTTTGAGGAACATAGGAAGGAGCTATAGGGCCTTTGAGAACCCAGCTTAATACAGTCTCCTAGCCGAACAGATATAATTGTTTACGGGATTTAAACTTTCCGTGGCTATAAAAACCTCACAGAGAACTTCTAGTTGCCAGAAATCCTTCTACTGGAACAGATAAAATGTCAGCATAGCTTTAAACATGAAGAACATAGAGTCATTTTCTTGGTAGCAGACAGAGTTCAGGGCAAAAGTAGGCAATTCAATATGCTCATTAACTTTATTCGTTTACATGTGGAGCCTGCCCAGTTCCATGACATCTGGGAAAAAATCAACATAAACAGAAAAGTGAACAAAACAGAAAAGATCGTGCTTTACATCACCATTAAACTTGGCCAAAACAATAAGCCTTGCAGTTCTCTCTGAAGGATAAGCTTGAGCTTTGAGAGTAAGTTCTGAAGTTAGGGACAATTCATATCTCAAGATTATCAGGTGATCTCAGCCCTCTTTTTGGAAAAGAGAGAAAGCGGTAAAAGTGCTTTAGTTACTCAAGAACCGAGGATCCATTTTCAAAAGTGACTTAGGCACTTCTGAGTCTAAGGGCTAGTCTACACTACCGAACTACTTTGGCACAGCTGCACCTATGCAGCTGTGCTGTTGTAGTGCGTCTGGTGAAGACACGCTATGCCAATGGGAGAGTGCTTTCCTGTCAGCATAATTATTCCACCTCTCCCATAGACATAGCATGGTGTGGATACCGCTTTAAGTCAATGTATCTTGCATCATTCAGAGTGGGGGGCTTTTCACACCCCTGAGCAACATAAGTTACATTGACATAAGCAGCAGTGTAGACAAGCCCTAAATCATAGGACTTTTGAAATTGTGACTTAGGCACTCTTAAAAATGTTACCTGGAATGTGTAAGGCTGAAAAACACTGAGCTGGCAGTGGGCTACTTGTTGCTTTTATATCAGTCCTAACAGCTCTCCTCTCCTCCCCCCACTTTCTTCCTCCTGGGTAGTAAGTTATAAAGATGTTTATTGATTCTTTTCATGGGCTGGGAAAAAAGGAGATATGAGCAAAACAGACATTGTTATTACAGAATACTTACCATTCTACTAGCTAAATCTGCACACCTATTTCTTTGTCTCTCTCTCTCTTCTGTTTGAATGTACATATTATTCTGCGAAACTGCAAGAAACCAGTTCTAAATTTGCTTTGTGTATAGAAAATGCAGTCAAATAAACATTGGAGCTTAGACAGGGTTGTCAAACAACATTCTTTGTAGAAATTTCCAGATTGCCCAAAAGCCCAAGGGTTTAAGTGGCCAGGGAAGGTAGGAAACCTTCTTCTGCCTCCCACCTCTCTTTTGTTAGCTCACTACCATTGCAGCATAGTTTCTTTTACAAGAACATTGTCACTCTTCCTTCACCGGTTAATCAACAGGAGGTGTCCTAAACGCAATATGTACAGCATAGACTTCTGGATACCAAGAGTATCCTTTCTAAATCCTTGCCAGTCCTGTAGCAGAAGTCTGCAGGATAGTGTAAATCACAACTTATGTATCAGTGGAGGCTTCGACGCTATACTAACATTATCTGTGTTTATCACCACTGAATGCTAGGAGAATTAAAATGCTAGAAATGTTAGAGAAGTACTGTAGTAATGGGTGTTCCTCTATGGATCATTTTGGTTTACTTTAATTAAAGGGTTTATTTAGATAACTATAAATTATGCTTCATTTGTACACTAAATACAGCCACTTCTGTTTCATCACTTAACCCACCATCAATTCTACTTTTGTATTCAATAAATTAATTTACTGTTATTACATTTACAGGTTATCGTCATGTTCCTCTGTTTTCCAAACTTGGTGACAGACTTGATCCTGCATCACTCTTTGTGTATATTTGGTACTATTAATGATGACATTAGCAGTACTCCTGAACTGGCATATTCCTCAATAAAGCAACCATCATGTAGCTTGCAAACAACAGTTTAGTGTGTGGCCTGATTTTCAGAGGTGCTGAGCACCTGCAATTTCCACTGAAATCAGTGGAAATATTTGTGTGGCTAAATGCTATTTAACATGTATAAAGGCTGTAGAATTGGGCCCTGAAGTAATTTAGAAGAAATCATACATGGTTGACTTTTGCAGTATGTTTTCTTGAATCCAGTCAATATTTTAAGACATGGTTATTTGCAACTAATAGCAAAATAGTAATGAATTATTAAATAATAAGGAAGTAGCATTTTGATATTTATGGTCTAAGACTTCCAAAGGCACCAAAATTATGGGCAAAATTGAGTGGGCTTTTTCATTTGTATTGAGAAACTTTTTCCTACTGTATATTAATCTGTTCAAGAAAAAAGAAAAACAGGAAACATACATGCCCATACACACAATTATAACATAATTTACCCTTTAAATCCATAATGAGTCAATTTCTGATTGAGCTGTAGCTCATCAATGCCCATTGTAAAAATGATAAAAGTTCAAGAGTGGTAACCTGGACAATATTCAATTTTGCTGATACCAGGATCTCAAAACACTAACCGCCTGCCAGATACTGCTGTCTGCACCTTCCCTGTCAGCATAGCCCTTGCCCTCCCATCAAGAGACAGTGTTCTCCCACCTTTCTTATAAATTGCTATTGTGCAATGAGCTCCACGTGCACACAGGGATCTACATGTACAGAATTCATTGCAGGTTTCGGGTCCAAGCCTCAATAACTTACCAAGCTGTATTATGATGGCACATTTCTTACTTAAGATACTGAGATCAATGCTTATCTTTATAGTTTGATTTTATTTTTATTGTCATTTTAAATGTTATTTGTATTAATATATCCCCTATGCACAAAATGTGTCTCTCTCGAATATGGAAAATTATACTCTCCTGTACATACCACAGGCAAAGATTTGAAAATGTTACAGGAAATAACACTACTGGAAAACTGCCAACATTTATTTACATTAAAAGCAAACTAAAGAAAACTGAGAAGAATCTGAAATCAATACTGAACTTTAGGGTCAGGTAATTTGATAACTAAAAGCTGGATATGATGTGTCTTCTGCATTTTTTGAGAGGGAAGTCACTTGCGCCTTTATCTTAGAATACCTATAATCTAAAATTTTGGCCTTGTCGATCCTTGTACTGTTTATATTTGTATCATAGACAATATCTTTTTCATAGGGTAAAAATTTTATGGTTTTCTTCAGCACTGAGTAGGCATGTTCATGTTTTTACTCAAGCAGGTTCTCAATCCTCACTGAGAAGTTTAATTTCCCCGGGCAATATAGTGGCTCTGTTCCAAGAGCTGACATAACCAATCTGTTTGCAACCGAGAAGAATGCAGGTTTGTTGGATTCATGATATTCTTAAATGACACTCACACCGCAACTTCAACAGGTTTATATATCATAAGCTGCTTAAGCCTGATTTGTGTGTCTTAAAACTATTGTGCTTTGGGTGGAAAAAAGGAATCCCCTACAGCTCTGGGCATTATTCCCACTGCCAGCCACTTTTTCAACTTGCAGGATAAATCTTGTTATCATATTAATGTTTACCTTGGATCACATCATGAATCAGTACTTTTTCTTTTTACTACCCTGTGACCCTGATTCTGGGAAGACATATGTAAGTGCCTAACTTTATGCACATGGGGCTCATGTGTGCAACTGATGTTAATGGAATTCAGTGAGTCTAATGGGAAGTAAAAAGCGTGCTTACGTGTTTCACTGGATTTGGGCAAAAGCACCTTCAAGGACTGAGTTCATGAACCAGTCCCACTGAACTCAATGGGATACTCACGTGCAGGAAGTTAAGCATATGTATAAGGCTTTACAGGACTGGAGCCTGTGTATGTATTGTTTAGTTCCCAAATGCAGCATGAACATGCAATGGGGTAACACTAATGAACAAGGTTTCAGAGTAACAGCCGTGTTAGTCTGTATTCGCAAAAAGAAAAGGAGTACTTGTGGCACCTTAGAGACTAACCAATTTATTTGAGCATAAGCTTTCGTATCCGATGAAGTGAGCTGTAGCTCACAAAAGCTTATGCTCAAATAAATTGGTTAGTCTCTAAGGTGCCACAAGTACTCCTTTTCTTCTTTACTAATGAACAAAGATTTCTTATAATATGATTTTACTTAATTTAACCTTTCAGCAGAGTAACTATTTATTGTATGTCCCCTTTACTTACTGTGTGATGGTTCTAATACATTGGTCATTTACATGGGATTTTTGGAAATGTTTAAAAGTCTATGGGGATCGTTGGATATAAATATTTTTCAAACTCTAATTTATAACATTTATCTATTATCAGATATTTTGCCAGAATTTATTTATTTCCAAATATTTTCCCAGAATAAACCCAGTGAGATGAAACATCTTTCCCCAGGTCTGAAAGTTACAAAGTCACATGTTACATCAGCAAGTTAAAACTTAAAAATATAAGGTATATGCTAAAACTAAAGGACAGTATAGTTTTAAATTCTTTTAAATGTTCAGATTTTAAATTCTGCACATATAGTTACACTTTAAATGTGAAATGAGCAAGAAGTTTTAAATACAAACTGGCTGTCATTCTACTATGATCTCTCAGGTGAACGTGCTATCATACTAACTGGGCCATATTTAAAACTGATATAACTACACAGACATCAAGTAGAGTGAATTCACCCCAATAAGCTCATTCTTGGTCTGATCCAAAGCCCACTAAAGTCAGTGGGAGATTACCATTGACTTAAATGGGCTTTGGCTAAGGCTCCAGCATCACAGGTTTAGGGATACATAAAACACATCTAGCTGTATACAAATAATAGTGATCAGCAGGAACAAATATCTTGCTTGTTGCCATAAGAAATGTTATCCAAGATAATTGAAATTGCATGCTGCAAGCCTTTTTACACCCAGGCTAATGGGAACTTGTTGCAGGTAAAGGTAGTAATTCTGTGAAGATAGCTAAATGGCAATGGATCATGAAAAAGAGAGAATTTCCGTGTGATTAGTAGTTCAATGTATATATGGTTAGCGGTTTACTGCATATTATATTCTCAAAGGCAAATATTTCGGCTAATGTGCCAAAATGGCCCATGAGAAAAGAGAAAGAGAAATAATGAATGAATATTTCAGTTATCTAAGGCAATGTTCAAATTATACTGTTCCCCAATGGGTACCACTTTTCTTCATTTAATGGGACACTGTTCAGTTGAATGTTGATAGCTCCCACAAATGTTCCTTTGCTTTTCACAATAAGCTGTAACACACGTCCTTGGAGCTCGGTGACTGCGTCATATACTACCTGCAATCATATATGGGAAAGCAGATAAAGTATAAGAAAACTGAATATTTTTGATACCAAAAGCACTTATTTTTTTTTGCGTCACTTATACCTAAAGATTACTACTAATGCTTAAAGTAACTGACAAACTGCCAGCAAGAGTCTCAAGTTCCAAGCCATGACCCATGCTCAAGTCAATGGAATTACACCAAGAACAAATTTAGCCTTATGTATTCAAAATAAAAAAAGCTTCTGCTGACTTAGGCTAGTAAAGTTTAAAGACTGAGCATTTGCAAGGAAGTTTAAAACCAGTGTTTTAACTCCACCATGAATTCAACTAGTAAAATTAATAACTATGCAAATTACTAAGTATTAGGTACATTTAGAATGCCCTCTAGCTTTTAAAAGGTTTGTTCTTCATGTGTTGCTCAGTTTGACATCAGAACACGGGGTTCCTCTATTTAATAGCTGGTTCATTAATCTCCTATCTCTGTTCACCGTTGAAATATTTTATCTTACCATATATACAGTTTACCATTCCACTACCTCCAGTGTCACCGTTCTTTCACACCACATAGCAAAATATCCAGCAGTTCTGAATAGGAGACCAGTGAAGAAAGGATTGTTTGGGAGGTGACTGGAGAGAAAACTCCATTGTAAGGTGGAGGGAGATAAAACAGGAGAGTTAGGAAAGTAGGAAGGAGTTCTTTCTATTTTGAGCAGGGAAGATGAGGTGGGATTAAGAGCTCAAGATGAATGTATTAGTTCTCAGAGTGATAAAAGTTAGTGGGGATGACATGGCTAAAACACCATCCATTTTGAAAATTTAGGTTCAGTAAGGCTATGTGTATCTGTGTGATGCTTTTTACCTATATCATCTCATTTTAAAAAAGATGATCCTGGCAGTCCTGGTGCAGACTATAATACATACTGCACTCTCAAAAGGCTAATTTATAGCACTGGGGTGTTGCAAGTCTTCTGTTATGTATGCACTTATATAGCACCTTTTTTCTGTACCATCACAGAAATATAGGGGCCAGAAGGGACTTTGAGAGGTCATCAAGTCCAGCCTCCTGTGCTGAGACAGGACCCAATAAACCTTGACCCTCCCTTACAGGAGCTTGTCCAACTTGTTCTTAAAAACCTCCAGTGACAGGGATTCCACAGCTTCCCTTGGTAACCTGTTCCAGTGCTTCACTGCACTTATAGTTAGAAAGTTTTCCTAATATCTAACCTAAATCTCACTTGCTGCTGATTAAGACCATCACTTCTTGTCCTACCTTCAGTGGTCATTTTTGTTGCTTTCCACTGAAATCTCTCCAGTTTATTCATATAGTTTCTAAAGAGTGGTGCCCACAAACACAGTGGACACAGTACTCCAGATGAGGCCTCACCAGTGCCGAGTAGGGCAGGAGAATTACCACCCACGTCTTACATATGACACTCCTGTTAATACACCTCAGAATGAAAGCTTTTTTCGCAACTGCTTCACATTGTTGACTCATATTCAAATTGTGATCCACTATAAACCCCAAATCTTTTTCAGCAGTACCAGCACCTATCCATATTGTAATTTTGCATTTGATACTTCCTTCCTAAGAGTAGTACTTTGCATTTGTCTTTATTGAATGTCCTCTTGTTGATTTCAGATCAAATCTCCAATTTGTCAAGGTTGTTTTGAATTCTAATCCTTTCCTCCAAAGTGCCTTCCTGTCTTGGTGTCATCTGTAAATTGTATAAGCGTACTCTTCACCTCATTATCCAAATCATTAATGGAAATACTGAATCGTACTGGCCCCAGGACTAACGCCTGCGGAACCCCAATACAGACACCTTCCCAGTTTGTCAGTGAACCATTGGTTACTACTCCTGCGTATGGTCTTGCAATCAGTTATACAACCACTTTATAGTAATTTCATGTAGGCTACATTTCTCTAGTTTGCTTATGAGACTGTAATGTGGGACTATAAAAAAAAAGCCTTATCATCATGTGTGCTGCTTTGTCCCTCTCCACTAGGCTGGTTACCTCATCACAGGAGGAAATTAAGTTGGTTTGTCATGATTTGTTCATGACAAACCATGTTGGCTACTACTTATAACCCTATTATCTTCTAGGTACTTATGAACTGAGTGCTTAATAATTTGTTCCAGTATCTTTCCAGATATCAAAGTTAGGCTGACTGGTCTATAATTAATTTCCCAGTTCCTTTTTGTTCTCTTTTTTAAGATGGGTACTATGTTTGCCCTTCTCCAGTCCTCTGGGACCTCAATTGTTCTCTTTGAATTCTCTTAAGATAATTGCTAGTGGTTCCACGATTGATCCAGCTTGTTCCTTATATATCCTGGAATGAAATTCATCAGGTCCTGCCACCTTGAATACACTTAATTTATCTAAATATTCTTTAACCTGTTCTTTCCCTATTTTGGCTTGTGTTCCTTCCTCCTTGAGTACCTGATCTACCATTAATAAAGACAGAAGCAAAGTGGGCACCATAGCCTTCTTGATGTTAACGGTTATTAGGTCTCCTTCCCCACTAAGTTAGAGGACCTACACTTTCCTTTGTCTTTCTCTTGATCCTAAGGTATTTAAAGAACATCTGCATATTGCTGGTTATGTCCCTGGCTTGGTGTAACTCATTTTGTGCCTTAGCCTTTCTGATTTTATCTATACATGCTTGGGACTTTCTCTTAATGTGTACTCCTCCTTAGCAACTCGTCCATGTTTCTACTTTTTGTAGGATTCCTTTTAGAATTTCAGGTAATTAAAGGGTGCCTGATGGAGCATATTGGCCTCTTGCTATACTTTCTGTCTTTCTTTTGAGTCGGGATATTTTTCAGTCGTGACTTTAATATTCTCTACTTGAAAAACTGCCAGCTCTCCTGACCGCCTTTTTCCATTAGATTTTCTTCCCATGGCATCTTACCTTTCAGTTCTCTGAATTTGTTAATGTCTGTTTTTTTTGAAAATACATCCTCAGTCTTCCCTTTCCTTAGAGTCATGAAATTTATCATTTCATGATCATCAAAGAACTGGATGCATTTTATAAATTATTATTAACAACAGAAGTATCACATGGACACAAGGGTAGACCTACTCAGTTCAGGGATAGGTTTCACTTGGAATACTACATTCAGTTTTTGACACCATATTCTGAAAAAGAAATGAGAGAATTCAGAAGACTGCAACAAAAAATATTTTAACAAGTTTAGGAAATACAGGTGAGGTCCATTGTGGAGTGATTAAGAGAAGGCTTATTCCATATACAAAAATCCCTTAGGGGTAACTTACATGTGAAAGGATTATATAAAGACAACAAGAATTAGTTATAATTACCACTGAGAGAAGAATGGACTAGTAGGAATGGAGTTAAGTTGTGGCAAAGAAAGTTTAAGGTAAATATTTATAAAGCAGTTTGTTTGTCTCAGGGTTAGATCACGGCAGTGAGAAACAGAATTCCTTATTCTGGGCGGTTTATTCCTGACTCTGTTGGTGACTTGCTATGTAGTTTTAGTCAAGTCAGGACCAAATTTTCAAACCACAATGAACTGGAACTAGAACTGGGCAAAATTTTTTGACTGAAACTTTTTTTTTTTCTGAAAATTTATTTCAGATTTGGATTTACCAAAACATTGAGCAAATTCATGTAGATTTTAAATAACTGTTTTGGTTGAATTAAAAAAACGAAAGAAAAAAATCTCACAAATGTTAAAACAAACAACTTTCAAATAATCAGATTGAAATCTTTTGGTTTTTTGAGCTAGAGGGGGAGTTAAGCACCACTCACAAAATCTTAGAAGGAGGACCCCCCTTCCCAAGTGGTTAGAACCCACAGCTGGAAATGAAGGACAAGAGTCACAAAAATAAAGGTAGGGTGGTGATATCCCCCTTATACCGCATATCTCAGTGGTTTGGGCACTCACTTGGCATATGGGATACCTGGTTTAAATCCAGACTCTGGAACAGGGACTTGAACCTAGGTCTCCCTCCTTGAAAGTGAATGGCCTGGCTACTTGGCTATAGAGTCATTCTCACTGTTTTATACTGGCTCATAACTAGGAGTATTTTATGTAAAGCAGTTCAATGGGAGAGATTGAAACCCACCTCCCTCCAAAATTAGGCTATAGTTTTGGGTTTAGAGCACTTACATGGGACGAGGAGAATTGCTGGCTTCAAGTTCCTGCTCCAGAGTAGGGATTTAAACTGGGTATATTTCACATGACAAATGAGTGCCCAAACCACGAGGACATTGGGTATAAAGAGGAAAGCACCACCCTTCCTCTGTTTTTGTGAATCTAGCCCTTCATTTCCTTTGCCTTCATTAAAAAATACCCAAAATGAAATGGAAATGTTTCTGATTTTTTTGATTAGCTGAAAATTCTGAAAAAAATTCCGTTTTTGGTTTGTCCTGAAATTAATTTTATTTTATTTTTACAGAACTGCCAACTGATGGAAAAATCAGTTCTTTGCCCAATTTTAATTGTCACACATTAGTGTCCTCCTCATCACAATGTGTTGGGCCTGTTAGCATAGTAATTAGGGGTAAACTGCTGGAACTTTAGATACTGTATGCTGTCAGTCCAAGACACCTGTTTATTATGTTAGTAAAAATTGGGACCTCTTGCCCTAAGTTGACTTTGTGCTTTTACTTGCCTCTCAGACAGAGGTGGCACCTAATTAATTAATTAATTATAGTAATAACTATATGGAATTCGACGGACTGGTAATCATTACCTGTAAAACATGGCTGGTTCCCGATTAATAATTATTTTGTTCATCATAATATAAGAGCACATATAAGAGCACAGACACTAAAATTACTAGGATTATTTTAATATTTTAAAATGGTATTGATGATGAGCCAAAATAACTGTTAACACTATGCTGATGACATATTCTGAAGCAACTCTAAAGAGAACCTTTGCTTAAAAACATGGAACAGGAAAAAACAACAGAAATAACATGTCAGCCACCATCAAGGAAACAAGCAAATATGTTAGAAATTAACTGCCTTCGTTTAAAA